TCTGTGATGGGAGGGGGGGGGGGGAGGTGTGTGTGTGTGTGTGTATGTGTGTGTGTGTGTGTGTGTGTGTGTGTGTGTGTGTGTGTGTGTGTGTGTATGTGTGTATGTGTATGTGTGTGTGTATGTGTGTGTGTGTGAGTGTGTTTGTGTGTGTGTGTATGTGTATGTGTGTGAATATGGGTATAATTGTAGATCATTATTATCATCATTACATATATTTACTACCTCGGTCATTATTATCTTTTCTATTACCACTATCAATATCGTACGGTTTATTTTCCACATTTTCGCTTTCATCCATCTAAAATGCAGTACGGGAAAACTGGATAAATTTTGTGAAGGATATAGTAATCACCAGAGTTCTCGTTTTCTGTTGTTCGGAGCAGTACGAAGGGAGGACTCAAGAAAACATTAGTTTCTTTTTGGTGGTAGTAGTAGTATTAGTACTGGTATTATTATTGCTACCATTACCGCTACTGCTGCTATTACTACTACTACTATTATTGCTATTATTAATATTGTTTTTATTATTATTATCATTATCCACCACCACCACCACCATACTTACTGCTCTAACTACCATACCCCCCCACCACCACCACCACAACAACAACCACCACAAAAAAATCTAATATTCTCTCCTCCGCTTCCGTGCCCCCCCCTCCCCCAGACGAGAACACGAACAAGCCGGTGTTCAGAGAGTGCAACGACTACGACCAGAAGAGTATTCGGGAGAACATGGCGGCGGGGACGTCCGTTCTGATCGTGAGTATGGGCGGGGGTGAGGGTGAGAGAGGGTGAGGGTGAGGGTGAGAGAGGGTGAGGGTGAGGGTGAGAGAGGGAGGGAGGGATGAGGGTGAGGGTGAGGGTGAGTGAGGGGAGGGTGAGAGAGTGAGATTGAAGGTGAGAAGGTAATAGTGAGTGAGAGAGTGTGAGTGAGGGTGAGAGTGAAATTGAAAGTGAGTGAGAGAGAGGGTGAAATTGAAAGTGAGTGAGAGAGAGAGTGAAATTGAAAGTGAGTGAGAGAGTGAGTGAGAGAGTGAGAGTGAGTGAGTGAGAGAGTGGGATTGAAGGTGAGAGGGTGAGAGAGAGAGGGAGGGAGGGAGGGAGGGAGGGAGGGGAGAGACAGAGAGAAAGAGAGAGCAAGGAAAGAAAGAAAGAACGAACGAACGAACGAACGAAAGAGACAAAAATAACCCAACATCTTTCCTCGTAGAATGACCAAAATACACATCCAAACAGGTGGTCGCGGAGGACGACGACCACGGAGTCAACGGCGAGGTCACCTACTCCTTCCGGAACGACTACGACAGCTTCGCCATCAAGACCTCGCTCGGCCAAGGCTACATCTCCACCACGCAGGTAAGGAGGGGTGGGGGAGGGAGAGGGGGAGGGTGGGGAGGGGAGAAGGAGGTGGGGAGGGAAAAAGGGGAAAAGGGAGGGTGAGGAAGGGAAAAGGGAGGGGGGAGGGAGAGGGGGAGGGTGGGGAGGGGAGAAGGGAGAGTGGGGAGGGGAAAAAGGGAGGGTGAGGAAGGGAAAAGGGAGGGTGGAGAAAGGGGGGGGAGGGAGAGGGGGAGGGTAGGGAAGGGAAAGGGAAGCAAAGGGAGGGTGGGGAGGGGAAAAGGGAGGGTAGGGAGGGTGAGGAAGGGGGAAAAGGGAGGGTGGGGAGGGGAAAGGGGAAGAAAAGGGAAGCGAGAGAGAAGCAAAGAAGAAAGAGGGAATGGGAAGAATCGAAGACAGGATAGGTAAGGAGAGGGAAAGAAAGGGGAAGAGGTGAGGAAGGAAAGGGAGGGGAAGAAAATGAAAGAGAGGAAAAAGGAAGAAAGAGATGGGGAAGCAGAAGAAAGATTAAGGGAAATGGGGAAGAATAGGAAAGAAATAAGGTAGAAAGAGAGGGAGGACAGGGGAAGAAGAGAAAAGAGATAAGGAAGAGAGGGATGGGAGATATGGGAGAGGGGATTGGCAGGAGAGCAGAGAAATATGGTAGAAAGACAAGGAAAAGAAGGAAAGAAGGAGGAGAGTAGAGAAAAAAAGTTATAAAGAGAGGAGAATAGAGGAAGAGGGAGAATAGAGGAAGAGGGAGAAAGAGAGGCAGAATAGAGGAAGAGGGAGAAAGAAAGGAGAAAAAGAAGGTAGAGCGAGAGAGGGAGGAGGAGGGAAGTAGAGAGTAAAATAGAGAGTGAAGAAAAGGTAGATAGAGGAGAGAAAGAGAGTGATGAGAGGGGACAGGAGGAGAGGAAGAAAATAGGGGCAACGAAAAGGAAAGAGGGAATGGAAAAGAGAAAGAAGAAGGGCGAATAAATCCAGGAAAAAGAAGAAGGGGAGGAGGAGCGAAGAAAGGAGAAGAAGGACAGGGAGAATAAAGAGATTGAGAAAAGGGATGATACTAAATTCAAGAAAGGGAAAGGGGGGGGATAGGGACGAGAGAACCCACTGTCTGACCGCCCATCCCGCCCACGCCGCCCACAGCCGCTGGACCGAGACGACGGCGAGAAGGAATACTACATGACGGTGATCGCTCGCGACGGCGCCCAGACCGACTGGCTGCTGGGCGCCTGCTCCTTCAGGATCATCGTCGAGGACGAGAACGACAACCCGCCCATCTTCGACCAGGCGGTGAGCACACACATACACACATATACGCATATACACATATATACATATACACATATATACACATATACACAAATACACATATATACACACATACATATATACACACATACGTATATAGACACATACATATATACACACATACCTATATACACACATACACACACACACACACACACACACACACACACACACACACACACACACACACACACACACACACACACACACACACACACAAACACACACACACACACACAAACACACACACATATACACACATACACACACATGCACATATATACGAACATGTGTATGTTTGTATAGATGGCTGAAATGTAAACGTATTTCTTGATCAGAACTCCACACAAACTAACCACCTCCCCCCTTCCCCCTCCCCCTCCGCCTCCAGAGTTACATGTACAAGCTGCCGACGGACAGGCAGGTCGGGACGGAGATCCTGCGCGTCACGGCCACGGACAAGGACGCCGGGCTGAACGCGGACGTCGTGTACGGCCTGGAGGGCGATGCGACCGACCTCGAGTTCTTTCAGGTCGACCCCGACACCGGCATCATCTCGCTCAGGAAGAAGCTCACCGACGATATGGTTAGTGGGCTGTGATGCACGCGCGCGCGCGTGTGTATATATATATATATATATATATATATATATATATATATATATATATATATATATATATATACATTTATCTATCTATCTATCTATCTATCTATCTATCTATCTATCTATCTATCTATATATATATATATATATATATATATATATATATATATATATATATATATATATATATATACATATATGTATACATGTATATATGTATATGTACATATACTTATTTATATTAATATACATAAACGTATACATATGAATATATATATGTAAATATGTGTGTGTGTGTGCGCGCTTGCGTGCGTGTTTCTTTCATGGCGCTTCTGCTCCTCCTCCAGGCGGACCACAAGACCTTCTCGCTGACGGCGCGGGCGGAGGACAAGGGCGCGCCGCCCATGTCCTCGACGGCGCCCGTGACCCTCGACGTGGTGGCCTCGGGCAAGCAGCCGCCCTCCATCGTCACCCAGAGCCCCGCCAGCCCGCGCATCGACGAGGACGCGCAGGAGAACAGCGAAGTGGTCTACGTCTGCGCCACGTAAGGGCCTCTCGTCTGATGGGGGGTCGGGGGGGGGTGTTCTCTGGGGGGAGGGGGGGAGGAGGATGGTGTGTGTTTGTGTTTGTTTGTTTGTATTTGTCTGTTTCTGTGTGTGTTTGTTTGTTTGTGTATTTGTGTGCGTGCGTGCGCGCGCGTGTGTGTGTTTGTTTGTGTGTTTGTGTGTGTGTGTGTGTGTGTGTGTGTGTGTGTGTGTGTGTGTGTTTCTGTGTGTATGTGTGTATGTGTGTATGTGTGTGTGTGTGTGTGTGTGTGTGTTTCTGTGTGTATGTGTGTGTGTGTGTTTGTTTGTGTGTATTTGTTAGTGTGTGTGTGTGTGTGTGTGTGTGTGTGTGTGTGTGTGTGTGTGTGTGTGTGTGTGTGTGTGTGTGCGCATGTATGTATGTCTATATATCTGTATGCATGCATGTATCTATGTAGGTACATACGTATGTATCTGCGTAAGTACGTATCTATATAGTGTTTGTACTTAAACGTTTATTCATACATTTGCGTAGATCAGTGCACATATTGATGCTCGGGTTTCACTCGGCTAGCCACAGCAAACCATTCTTGCGCAAAGGGGAAAATTCTTCTTCGTTTGCTGGTTCCCTCATTCGCCTCTTCCCCTCCTCTCCCCTCTAAGCCTTCCTTCCCCTTTTCTTCTCGGTTTTCCCGATCTTCTGCTTTTCCTATTTCTCTCTGTCTCTTTCTCCTTTTTTTTCTTTTTTTTTCTCTCAATCATTTTCTTTCTCTCTTTCTTTCTCTGTCTCTCTTTTTCTTTTTCTTTTTCTTTTATTTCTCCCTTTCTCTCTCTTTCTCTCTTTTTCTCTCTCTTCCTCTCTCTCATCTCCCCTTTTATTCTCCTCGCTTCCGTTTTCTTCCGATTTTTTCCCCTTATCATCTCTCCTTTACTCTCCCTCTCGCTTCCCCCTTCTTCACTCCCATCGCCCTCCTCCTCCCCCTCCCTTCCTCCTCCCCCTCCCTCCCTCTTCTCACCGCGTCCCTCCCCCCCTTCCCCCCCCTCTTCTCACCGCCTCTCCCCCCCCCCCCGCAGCTCCAACATCCCCCCCTCTTCTCACCGCCTCTCCCCCCCTTCCCCTTCCCCCCATCTTCTGACCTCCTCTCCCCTCTCCCCCTCCCCCGTCAGCTCACCTCCTCTCCCCCCTACCCCCCTCCCCCGTCTTCTCACCTCCTCCCCCCTCTTCCCCGCCCCCCCTC